ATTAATAGCCTTATTAATGGTGCTTTGAGCTGGGGAGATACAAAGTTTAAATATGACATAGTCCCTACTCTCAAGGAGCTTCAGTCTTGGAAGGGTTTAAGATACCAACACAGAACATTGAAATCACAATGTTACCTGATAAGTGTATAGCAAAAGTGTTGACAAAGTACTATGTGAGGTCAGAGAATTACAGAATTAGATTTAGGCCTTAGAACATAGAGCACAGAAAGTCAGAACTAAGACAGGGTTTAGCTATCTCATCCAACCCTCTCATTTAGAGATGAGGAAACTGAGGTCCAGATTCTAGAAAAGGCTTATGCTAAGTAGTAACAGGAGGATTGAATCTGGGTGCTCTGAATTCAAATCCACTGTACCACTGGAAGATGACAGAAAACTTCTCAGAAGAGGTAGCATTTAAGTTGGATTTAAAGGAGAGGTAGGAATTCAGAAGGTGCAAAAGGGGAAAGAGGTTATTCCAGGCATCAAGAACAAAATCATGGAAGCAGAAATGTACAGGGCAAGCTTGGAGGACCTAGAATGGTCTAGTTTAGTGGAACTATAGAATTCCTGGAGGAGAATGGTATGAGAGAAGGCTGGAAAGTTAGGGTGGCACTTGATCGTGGAGAGCCCTTAATGTCAGGCCTCTGTCACCCTTCCTGCTCTTCAGAGGGCCCTTTTACTGGCCATCTGCCATATGCCACATGGTGCTTAGGGGAAAGGAACAGTGATCCAGATCACCCCAAACATTGGGTAATCAGCAAATGACTTCTGGCTTTCTTGAAGAACACTTGTTTGGCGGGGGCAGCACAATGATTAGGGCCCCATCTCTTCCTCCACACAAGTCACTGCTGGGCTCTTCAGGCCCAATGAGGGAGTAGAACCTGGGCCCCTGACTGCCCAACCCTTCCTCCCCCCTTCCCCTGTCCAAGTACTTTCATTTCCTTCCTCCTCTTTTCTCAGAAGTTTAAAATCCCCACCCAGTTCCTAGAGGAGAAAGCAATCTGGGTTGGGGAGGGAGGGTGCCAAGCTAACTCTAGAAACCTATGAGCTGCCCTGACCAGAGGTAAACCATCCCTCCCAAGAGCTGCAAGGAAGCTGACACAGCATCTGGTGGCCACGCTCTCATTTTGGAGGGGAGGAAACAGAGTCAGGGACTTGACCAGGGTCAGTCAATGACAGAGTTAGGATTTAAGCCCAGGTCCTCTGTCTGAGGCAGCAGGAAAGGGGCAGTGGGAAAAGGGCTAGATTTTGAATCAGGCAACCTAATTCTGAATCAGCTCTATCATTAACTAGTTGTATGGCTTTAGTTGAACTAGAATCACCTCTAAGGTCCCTCCTGTTCTAGGCCTGTGATCCTATGAGTCCTCCATCTCTTAGAGGTGGAAATGAAGGCCAAGAGAGGAAGGGTCTTGCCTGTGGTCCCAAAGTGAGTCAGTGGAAGACTAGAATCCTGGTTTCCTGAACCGCCCCACCACCTCCTAAGTCCAGGACTCTCCTACCTCACTTGTTGAAATATTGGATGATGATGAATGTGGGACTCAATTCAATTCAACAAATATTAATGGCCTCATTCGTGGTCTGAGCCTCAGTTTCCTCATCTGTAAAATAAGGGGGCTCAGACTATGGCCTCAAAATTTCTTTCCAGGTCTAGCTCTATGATCCTCTGATCTCTATGAAGTGTTCATGAAGCTTTTGCTTGCAGAACTCTAGTTACAGGGAGCTCACTATCTTCCGAGACAGCTCATTGTACGTTTCCACTGGTGAATCCTAGGAATGTTTTCGATGCACTGGAAACTGTCTCTCTGCAGTTGTTCCCCACTTGCTCCCAGCCCTGTGTTGTGATACTCAACATCTCCAGCTGATAATCTTCATTTGGCGCTGACTTCTAGTGCTTTCTCCATATAGGTCATCCTCCTCTGGTCTTGCTTTCATTGGTCAGTGACCTTCCTAAAATGTGAAGCCAGTGTTCTAGATAGGGGTCTAGATAGGGGTCTTCCCCCCACCCCCAAATCTACTTCAAGTAGAAACTGATCCCTGCAGTTGGCATATCGATGTAGAAAACCATAAATTAACATTACCTATGTTGTGTATTTATTTTTGTATTTTGTATTTTGTTAGTATATTATTATTGTATTGTATTATATATTTTTATTTTATTTGTTTTGTTAAACATTTCCCAGTTATATTTTAGTCTGATTCTGTCTGCACTGGAGAATTTTACAGACCCTAAATTTGACACCCCTGGGGGACTTGGGTTCAAGTCCTTTGCCACTGACTTGCTATGTGATCCTGAGCTAGCCCTTTCTCCTCTTGGGACCCCTGAATCCTCCTTTGGAAAATATCAGGATTGAACTAAATGATTCATCAGTCCCCTTTACACTCTGATTCTGGTTTTATGCAGCACCCTGTCCCCTCCCAGAAGATATATGGCCTTTTCTCATAGAAAGCCCCTAGTCTGAGAGAAAACCATGGCCTCATCAGTCAAGCAATAAGCATTTATTAAGCACCTACTATGTGCCAGGCACTATACTAAGCACTGGGAACACAAAGACAAAATCGATAAAGTGTCCCTTCCCTTAAGGAACTTCCATTTTGGGTGGGGGGCAGGGAAGTAATATACATAAATATGTATTTATAGTATATATGCATAAAATACATATTGTGTGTATGTATACACCCACACAATATATATAATATAAAGTGTTGTGTATATCTTATACAATATAAAAAATACAATATACTATATATACAATATAAACATTTACAATATGTATTTTTTTGAGGGGGGAGGGCCCTTGCAGCTGGCATAAATCATGAAAGGCTTCGTGTAGGAAGGGGTTGTGGGAGCAGAGCTGAAGGAAACAAGGCCTCCTCAGAGGCAGAGGTGAGATAAGAGTGCACGAAAGAGAGAGGACTGAGTAGAAGTGCAGATGGGGTAGCAGAGCATTTCTCTGGGGAGGGTGGTTTGAAGGGAGGCCAGAAGGGCCTGGCTTGTTTCAAAGGAGAGAGGCCCACTCCACCAAGTATGCGGAGCACTAGGATTTCTTTGTTTGCTCAGAGAGCACCTGAGGCTTCTGAATCCAGGGTCTGTGAGGAGATTGAGGGAGGGTGGCTGAATAGGCAGGAGTTTTGCAAATGGCCATATCGGCCCTAAGAATGATTCTAGAGTCTATAGCAGCCAAGCAGGCAAACAGTTCCAGGCCTCAGGCTCTGAGAATAGTCCAAGACTCTTCTAGTATTGGCCTTGAGGTCTTGCACAGGGTCAGTAGGCTCTTGGAATAATGCTAGGTCCCGCAAACAGTTCCAGGCTCTGCAAACAATTCTAGGCTTTGTGAGCCAGCCAACAGGCTTTATATAAAGTGTAGCACTCTGCAGTGAGCAGCCATGGGCGCAGACCATTCGGGCAGCAGTGTTTGACGTGGACAAAAGCCCCATCCTGGATGGAGGAGTGGAACATGAGGCTTCATTAGGCAGGAAGTGTGGGCTGGGATAATAGGGTAAGATGGTCTATAATAAGTGGAGCAGACTGTGGTCATAAATACACATTTACAGGCTAATTAAAAGGTTCTAGGTGAGTAGGTCTCTGTTTATAGTCTCTGTGGCCTTTGGAGCTACTATTTCTCCCTTAGGAAGTCCTTTCCAGAGTCTAACTCAGTCCTTCCTGCTGTGTTTGGAGACTGCAATAGAGGCAGCCCCCTCTACCTTTGCCTTCCAGATGTAGGCAGGGAGTGGGGAAGGAAGAATCTGGCTTCAGCCGGCATCTGGAAACCCCCTTCAGGAACTGGGCTGATCTCCCTCCCCTCCCACCACGAGGTGTAACCTGAACCACAGGCTAGGCCCAGGGTACTTGTGGGGCCTGGCTGGGACAATGAAGGATCAAGTTGCCGCCTGGCTCGGTTTTTCCGGCCCCTGGAGCTGAGGTTCCTTCGCATGGTTGGAGGTCACCTCAGGCAGTAAGGAGCCCCTGGAGCAGGCCAAGCTTTGAAGAGGAGGAGCTCTGGGGCCTGGAAGGGATCTGGGAGATCTAGTCCAGTTTTTGCATTTGAGGCTGGGGTGCTGAGGCCCAGAGAGGTGAAGGGACTTGTTGAAGGTGTCCCGCTAAGAAGTGGTAGGGACCCACTTTATGTCACCCAGCGGAACTGGGCCTCCAGCCAAGTCTTCTGACTCCAAATCCAGGCTGCTTCTTTGTCATCACGCCGCTATCCCCTTCTGGCCCTATCCTGGGAGCCTGAGCTCCAGCTCTGGGCCTGCATGGCAGACAACTAGGACAGCCTGGACTAATCATAGATAAACAAGGAGACTCTTCTACCTCATTAGTGAATAAAAGATCCAGAGATATCCAGGGCCAGAGATGGAACAGAGCTTGTCAAAGCTGGAAGAGACCAAGCTCATCTGGTCAGGCCCATAACTAGGGCAGAGCCACTGGGGCTTTGTCCTAGGGTGCCAAAATTCAGAGTGCTAACAACATTATACTCCTAAGCAGCTTAGGACCTAGTTAGCAAGAATAAAAAAACAAAACTAGATAGTGTGTTTCCTTTCTCCATAATCTCTCTGCTGCACCCCAGGTAAGCTTTCTAACTTGACCTGGCTTCTCAACCTCAGTAGTGGATTCCCCAACAGAGGCCTTGAGGTATCTCTGGGTGGCCATACCCCAGCTGACTGCTCCTTAAGTCTAGCTCTACCCCACCTACTCACCCAAAGCCACCTAAGTAGTGCTTAACCTGGGGTGTCCTGGGGTCTTTCCCTCCCTTTTGCATTTCATGTCTCTTACCACAAATACAAAAATGTCTAGGTATGGTTTCTGGCGTACAGTAAGTGCTTAATAAATACTCTATCTATATCATCTATCTATCTAGTTGTCATAGAATCATAGATTTAGAGCTGGGAGGGCTTTTAAAGATCTTTGAACCCAACCATGTCATTTTACAGATAAGGAAAATGAGATCCAGTGGGAGTTAAATCACTTGTCCAGGGTTACACAATTAGTTATTAATCATCTGAAGTGAGATTTGAACCTGGATCTTCTAATTCCAACCTTTTCTCTACTATACCATGATGCCATGTGGTTCTATGTTTAGCCCCAACTTCCCTATCTTGCAATGGGGAAACTGAGACCCAAAGAGGGGGAGTGATTTGGTCAAGATTACATGCAGGCTCGGTAGCAGGCCTGGAACTCAAACGTGACTGAGAGCTGTTTGGAGGGCAGCTGAGGACCCAGACAGGATGCCTGGTAAATTGGAGTCATCGGTTTGTCTGGTTACTTCCCAGCCTCCTCTGTTATCTTCCTCCGTACGCCTCTCCCTCCTTGTTACTAAGATTGTTCCCTTTGGGACCAGACTCCCATTCCCCCATCAATCCTCACAGTCCATCATTTCCAGGGAAGCAACTGGGTTCACGGCCAAAAGGAGCTCTGAATGGGGAGTCATCCTCCAGAGGAAGAAAGAGGTCCTGGGGCTGGGGTGAACGTGTTCCAAGCCACACAGCAAATTAGGTATCACACAGCTTTTGTTCAGTGAGTCCAACTCCATTCGGGGTTTTCTTGGCGGATGCTGGAGGGATTTGCTATTTCCTTCTCCAGCTCATTTTTACAGATGAGGAAACTGAGGCAAACAGGGTTAAGTGACTTGCCCAGGGTCACACTGCTGGTAAGTGAAGCTGGACTGGAACTCAGGTCTTCATGACTCTAGGCCGGGCATTCTGTCCTGATCAGGATAGTAGCTTAGAGCTCATCAAACAAGATAGCACATGTAAATCACTTTGCAAACCTTAAGGTGCTATATCAAGGACTATTAATCTGGGGTCTGTGAACTTGTGTTTTTATAATATTATGCATATATTTAATATATAATTAAATAAGCTAATTAAGTATAATTAATATTCCATACATTTTTAATATTATGATAACTATTTCAGTATAATTAGTTTCTTTTATAATCCTATATATTTTGTTTTGTGAATTTAAAAACCTTCTGAGAGGGGTCCATAGGCTGCACCAGGCTGCCAGAGGGGTCCAATAATACAAATAGGGTTAGGAATTCCTGGGCCATATAAATGCTAGTTGTTATTGTTATTATCATCTGTCAAATGAGGGGGTTGGCTTAGACAGACGGCCTCTGAGGTCCTTTCCAACTCTCATCCAACCCCCTCATTTGACAGAAGGGGAAACTGAAGCCCAGAGAGGGGAAGGTTCTTGCCCCAGGTAGCACAGCCAATGAGTGACAGGGCCCAGACTTGAACCAGGACCTTCAGGATCTCCAGGTCTCAGCGCTGGCCTCTCCACGCCCCGCAGCGTCCAGGATCATAGGAATACTCCCGACAAGCTTGTTACAGATTTAGAGCTGGAGAGAGACCTAAGAGGTCATCTGGTGAGAAGGAAAGAGGCCCGGAGGAAGAGACAGACTTGCCCAGGGTCACACAGCTGTTAAATAGTAAAGCTGCGTTGTGAACCTTGTTGACTTGGGTGGACAAGTGGGGCTTCTTCTTCCCTGGCTGCTCCTGCCTGCCCTGATTCCCAGCTTCCTCTCCTCTGTCCTCAGGTCAGCTGGCCCAGCCCCAGGGTATTCTGAGGATGAAGTGGCCGAGACTGTGCTGGTCCCTTACCTGCTTCCTCACTGTGAGTTGGGGTGGGTGAAGCTGGGGCCAGGGAAGGGAGCACCTAGGGGGCCTCCTGGTGGTTGAAGGCTGGGGGGGGCGGGGTGTGTGGAGATTCCTGGGGGATTGGGAGAGATCTCAAGGGCCCTCTGCCCTGGCCTAGGTCACTTAGCCACGCCCAGGTCCCTGGATCTGCTCACAATAGTGACATCGACTCTGAAGTTTTCTACATCCCTCCTACCTCCACTATGCCATGAATAGTAAAGACTGTGAGGGATCACAGATAGATGACATTCTCCTGGGTATGGGTGATGGGTCCCCAGGCTGTGGCAACCTCCTGCTTATCTTGCCTCTGTCGGACCTAAGGCCAGCTCAGGGATAGGCAGGGACATGGAGAAGATGATGCAGACAGTCTTCTTAGGGCTTCTCTTCCTGTTGACCTGGGCCTCCTGTGGGCGGGGCTGGGCTGGGCTGGGCGAGGCTGGTAAGAAAGAGGAGGAGGCAAGAGGGTAATCAGTGCTGAGAGGGTGAGTAGTGGGTAGAGGGAGCCTGGCCCTGGAGTGAGAAAGGTCATTGCTGAGGGTACTTGCCTGTCTCTCATCCGGCACTGAGAGCACCATATAGCATTGAATTGGGAGAAGAGAGATGGGATGAGGAGAGAAGAAGGAAGAAGAAACTGAGCAAAAAGGGAAGAGGAGATAGAAGTATGAAACCTTAGACTGTCAAGCCTTTAGAATCTTAGAAATAGAGAGCCTTAGAACCTTACTGTTTTAAATCTTAAAGGTATCTCCTAATTAATGGAGGCCAGCCTTTCTATTTTATGATAGAAGAAACTGAGGTCCAGAGAGGGGAAGGGAAAGAGGTTGGATGAGAACTCAGGTCTTCTAACTCCCAACCCAAGGCTCTTTTCATCATATGGAAAGAAGAAGAGGGAGGAAAGGAGAGAAAGAGTGAGGGGAGGGAGAGGGAGGGAGGAAGGGAAAGAGAGAGAGAGAGAGAGAGAGAGAGAGAGAGAGAGAGCAAGCAACAGGGAAGAGACCCTGAGAAGTCTCTCAGAGTAGATCAGTCTTTCTTGAAACCCTACTCCTTCCATTCCTATAACCAAGGATGAGGTTGTCTTGGAAACACAGATGGAGATGGGGGCTAGGTCCTCTCCCTGGACCTGGGTACCTGGACTTTGGGGTTCTCTTATTTCCTAGCTTTTACTTCCCCTATGAGAGTTTTTCTCTGAGATCACATGATCTGAGGAGAGTAAATGAGATTCACACCCAAGAAATAGCCACTTACAACCAGGATAAATGAACAAGTCCAAATTAATAACAGAGTAGATAGCATCTACACTGGCTGGGGGCATGCCATGCACAACAGGAATCAGAATGGGTAGGGTCATTCTGGGAAGGCATAGGATATTAGGAAGAGTGTATATATATATATATATATATGTATGTATATATATGCATGTATATGTATATAATCTATATATATAATCTATAGGGGGTAGGGTATATTAAGTCTGTCCCCATAACTGGGGTCTTAGACTAGAATCCAAGACACTAAGGTCCAAATCACAATTCCTGTTCTTCTCTCACCCGTCCTGACAATATTACTTATAAAGGACTTAGAAATCCCTCTAAAAAGGTAGCTTCATAAGGCAACGGGATGGGCAGACATTGACCAGTCCAGTAATGGTGCTCAGCTTGGCCTCCCTTTACATAGGCTCAGTGTGGGCAGTGGGGAGGGAGGGGCAGACTGTCTTGGGACCCATAGTCTCCTGGGATTTCCTTGGGACTTCCTGTGTTGGAGGATCTGTAAAGGTTGGGGTATAGTCTCAGGAACCAGATAGATTGAATGGGATCTCTCTCGAGTCTTCTTTCCCAGCATTCCTGTATAGATGAGAAAAGTCCTGGGCTTCTGTCTGGAAGAGGTAGAAGCCTCAATGGGCCAAGGAGGTAGGAATGCAGAGCCCCAGGATCTGAATCCCAGTTCATCCATCTCTCCCTTAAAGAGTCATAGACTGACTATGCTGGCAGGCCCCTTAGAACATAGTGCTGAACTAAGTGGGCCTTAGAACATAGAATGCCAAATTTACCTGAAGGTCACGTGGACAGTAAGTTCTAGAGGTGAGATTTGAAACTGAGTCCTCTGACTCTGAAGATGGGGTTCCCTCTGCTGCCCTACTGTTGGTTTGTGTACTTATGGTAAAATATTCCCTCAGTTTATGGGGGGAAATGGTCATTTGCTATTTTTCTTTAGTTGTTTTTTTTTTAAATGCCTTTGCTTTAAAGGAAAAAAAAAACCCAGAATGAGAGACTTGGGAGGGGTCTTAGAACATAGAACATCAGAACTGGGAGGAGCTTTATAAGAGAATGTCAGAGCTGGAAGAGAGGCTCTTAGAGATCATCTGGTTTAACCCTTTTTTTTACAAATTAGGAAACTGAGACCCAGAGAGAGGGACAGACCTGCCCAACTTAAGTTAATGGGTCAGTGGCAGAGCTGAGACTAAGAGCTCAGCTCCTAGCCATCCAGTGTTCTATTTTCTGCACTCTGCTATCAGTCCTCACCCATTCCCCTTCCATCTCAGCACAGAGGATTCTGGGAGAGGGCAGGGAAGATTGGTGGTGGCAACGCCCGCTGGGTATAGGCTGGGAGTTGGATTGGTGCCTGCTCCCGTCTCAGTGTCTGCTGGTGCCAGCCTCCCCTTCATCCCTTCTCTCTCAGCTACTCAGAGGGCCTCAGTCGTCCTCCCTGTCCTGCCAGGACTCCGAGTACCAGACAGAGGCGGGCGATTGTGCTGTGTGCCCCACATGCCCACCGGGAGAGGAGCCCAATCAGGTGAGCCCATGCCTAGCTCCCAGGAGCACCTGCCCTGAAGGAGGAGACATGCATGACCCCTGTCCTCACGGAGCCCCTGCTTTCAAGGAGGAGGGGAGCTATAAGGCTGGGTGGGTCTGAGAGGGGACATTTGGCACCTGTCCTCAGAGACCCCTGGCCTAAACTGATAGACTGGAGAATGGTCAGGACTAATCCAAAGTGGCTTCTTGGAGAAGGTGGCCTTTTGGGAGCTGTCGCATAAGGGCAGAAAGGATAGGGAATAGAGGGAGGGTAGCTTTTTGTGGCTATGGGATGGCTTTGACTGTGATTGCCCCTGCAGGACCCAGACATCCTTCCTTTCTCGGCTCGAGCAGGAAACCTCCCATGAAGCATCCCTTGATTGTCCTCAGCTGCTAGTGGCCACCTCCTAAAACTACCTTGTATTTATTTGTGTATATGTAAATGTACATCCTGCATCCCACATTCAAATGGTGGTTCCTTGGGCAAAGAAATTTTTTCCTTTTTGTCTCTGTATCCTTAGTAGCTGGCCCACAGTAAGCACTTAATAAATGCTTGTTGATTGATTTCCTCACCTAGGAATGTGGTTCTGGACTGGGACTGGGTACTGTGTGCCGTGCCTGCAGGCCAGGCACCTTTTCGACAAGCCTGGGACGAAGCCCCTGCATACCCCACACTGGCTGTTTCCATCTGTGGAGGGTCGAGGTCCAGGCGGGGACCACAACCAGCGATGCTCAGTGTGGTGGCTGTTTTCCAGGGTGAGCATCTTCTCAGCTCTGGAGTTGAGAAGAATATTGATCCTCAGCCTAGGGTCACTGGGTCTCGGCCTCAGTTTCCTTATCAGTAAAATTAAGACATTGGACTAGATGATCTCTAAGGCCCTTTCTGGTCGTCCTGGTATCCTGACATGTTCTAAGGTCCCTTCCAGCTCTGATATTCTTGGTTCTGTGTTCTAAGATTCCTATGCTTGGACATTCTCTGTTCTATGGGTCACATCTCTCAAACTCATCAGTTTCAGAAGAGAAATCTTAGTGACTTAGGCATCACTCCATTCAGATCTCTGTTAGGCACTGGGGAAAGGAGAGGAGAAGGTTGGGACAGGATGAAGAATTTGGGGTTGTCTTGGAGCCTCACTGACTGAGGGTTGCTGCTTCTCCCATAAGGGGGAACCCAGGGCTCAGGGAGAGTGTAGAAGTGTGCCCAGGCCATCCAGCCAAACTGGAAACAAGAGCCCAGGAATTCTCACTCCCACTGTATGTTCTGAAGGCCCTTGATCCCCCAGTATGGCCATGTTGGAGGAGTCACTTTTTTGCCGAAAATAATTTCTGAGGCTGTTTAATTGTTTACAAGACTCTTTCATCACATCCGCCCCATGTCCTCATTCTTATTCCCATTTCATTGATGGGGGCTAGTAAGATTCAGAGATGGGAAGTGATTTCACAGCATCCCAGACTTAGAAAGGGACCCCAAAGATCAGCTAATCCAATGCCTACTTGGACAAAAATTCCTCTTTTCAGCATTCTTGGTCTCCAGAAACGGGGAGCTCACTCTCTATCTGGGCAGCTCATTCCACTTCTGGTTTTGAAAAAGCACCCTGGGGTGTGGGGTTGAGGTCTCTGGGAAGGCTGAGAATGGGAAGTCCTAGGGGTTCACATAAGGGGTAGGTCAGAGGGGACTGCTGGGTTTGAGGTGGGGATGTGGAGCTGAATCTAGGTTTGAGACCACCTTTGTTTTCCTGCAGGTTTTATTACCCCAGAAGGCCCATAACGTTTGTGTGCTGGCCTTGTTCTGATGCACCTATGGGCACACCTGACTGTGAGGGTGAGTGTGGGTCTCATATGGTGGGTATTGGGGACAAGGTGCCTAAAAGATGGGGAGAGTAAGTGAGGGAGAAATGGAGGCAGAGCCAGAGAAGCAAAGGGTTAAAGAAAAGGAGAACCAGAGAGTGAAATTAGGGAGAGAGAAACTGAGACACAGAGTTTAGTGTTTTATAAATGATTGCTGATTGATTGAGGGTGAGAGAGATGAAGACAGAAAGGTGGAGACAGGAAGAGAGTGAGACAAAAACCGGCAAAACCAAGGAGAGGGAAGATGAGTGAGTGTGTGTGTGAGGTAGGGTTGTGTCTGTGTGTGTATGTGAGAGAGAGATACAGACAGACAGAGACAGAGACAGGGACAGAGAGAAAAGGAAAAAAATGAAGAAAGCAAGAGACACTTAGAGAGGGAGGTACAGGGAAAGGCAAACATGGAAAGAGTCAAAGACATGGAGACAGAGACAGACAGAGAGGGACATAGTTTGAGACAGCAAGAGAAAAAAATGCAGTGAGATAAGATGGAAAGGGACAGATTGAGGAGCGACGGAGACAGGGAAAGACATAAAGATGAAGAAAGGCTCGGGAAGGGAAGAGGGATGGATACAGGGGGAGACTGACAGCTGGAGGTACAGGACAGCCAGGCACGGAGAAGCAAACAAGATGAGTAAGATGAAGAAAGATGGAGAGAGATGGAAGAAGACAGAGGGGGTGATGGAGAAAGAGAACAAAATCCCAAAGTTGGCAGTACAGAAAGATAAAGACAGAGACTGAAGGGGCAGAAGGACGAAGGGAGACAGACAGGGGAGAAAGAGAAAAGCGGATGGAGATGGGGGTGCTGGGGAGACTGAGACTGCAAAAGAGATGAGTTAGAAGACAGAGCCCATTGTCCTGAAGGGGCAGTCCCCTCCCCTTTTCCTTCTCTCTCTCCCAAGCGTTGAAGAGAGAGCACTACGCAGAGCTGATGCTGACCCACTTTCAGCTCCTGAATATGCTGGCTCTCCCCACTATCCTTGGGGGGCAGGAATTAGAAGACAGCCAGGGCTGAGACAGCAGCTTTCTCTTCCACGACTGAGGCATGTCCCTGGGGAATGGGGGCATAAAGGAGCTGGGTACAGAGAGGCAGCATGGGGCTGTGGAAAGAACTCTGGGCTGAGCAGGAGACCTTGCTCTGCCACTAATTGGCTGTGTGACTTTGGGCAAATCTCTTCCCCCCACTTCCCCCCCCCCACCCCTTGGGCCTCAGTTTCCCCATCTGTAAAATGAGAGTGTTTGGATTCAGGTTTCTGGTGGCATTCATGCTATGTAGACCTAGGATAAATTTTTGCCCCTGATGCCCCCTTTCTTTCGAGGTCTTAGGTATAGAGGGGGACAGTGCCCAAGATCACACCAGCAGGATGGTGCACTGAACTAGAACCCAGGACTTAGGAGGCTCACTTCTCCCCTCCAGGGAGTAAGGACCTGTCTCTGCCAGTCCCTAAGGTCTCACCCCCCCAGCAGATAATCTCTGAGATTGGGGAGGAAAGACAGGGACAGTCACTGTCTGTTGAATGTTTGGTTTGTGACTTCCTTGAGCTATGTTGGCTGTGTGTGCTGCCCTGTCTAGCTCTGTGTCCCCTGAGCTTTATGAAATGAAGGGTCAAGTGGCTATGCTGGTGACAGAGGTCCCACTGGCACATCCCCTCCTCAGGGACCAACCCCCACTGCCCTACCCACATGCGGTCAGTGGCAACCACGGAGCTTCTCTCACACACGCATAATGATAACGTGGATAAGCAGCAGCACACACAGATGCACCCAGGCAGCCTGAAGACGCAGGGGAGTAAGAGTGGTCACAACACTGGCATCCAAGGCCCTGGATTTGAATCCTGGCTCAGAGATTGACTCACTCCATGGCCTAGGCAAATCATTTTACTCATCTGAGCCCCAGGTAGAGAGTGGAGATATTGGTCTAATGACTGTCTGAGGTCCCTTACACGACTTGAAGACCTATGATCTTTTGACACTTTCACGTGCTCACACTCAAACACACAGATCTGCTCACATGCTGATGGAGCCATCATGCACACACACACTCTCCTTTCTCTCCCCGTCTTTCACCTGCTGAATCACCCTCAGTGGCTGTCACCCTGGACCAGAGCCCAGAGCCTGACGGAGTGGGGAAATAAGGATGTGTGTGTGTGTGTGTGTGTGTGTGTGTGTGTGTGTGTGTGTGTGT